CTGCATAGCAATTCCTTTAACAATACAGTTTAACTCACCATCCCATGACAACACATTTTGTCAACAACATCTCACAAGACATTCGACCAAGGGATTTACTTTATTTTATTTTGAAATAACACACTGATATCAGTCTTCCATCAGATTTTTAATACTAACTGAATTTTTCCTGTCCTTATAATTGACATCCACAAGTCAAAACACATTTCTTTTTTTCCCTTCTTTTTTTTTTAAAGCCCAAAATCTTTCCAGCTACTACAGTAAGACAGCGATCATTTTTAAAAGAGATAACTCTGTAAGAAGTTAGCTGGAAGTGGAAATAAATTATGCCAAGAATGGAGGAATAAAGGGAACTGAAATTTAAGAAAAAGCAGCTTCCACACTTCTAACCCGAGGGGAAAAGGGAAGTTTGGCAATCATATTACTCTTCATCTTCTATTGAGCTTTCCTCAGATATATTTTATTTTGCTTTCTGATTGTTACAAATAGATACTCTTATGTCATTGTAGATGCTAAGAAATACAAGAAAGCTAATTTTGGTATACTAGTTAGTAAAAACAAGGTCATCTTTTAAGACTAATGTATCATAATCTGTTCAGCAGTTTTAGTTCGTCCCTACAAACAACAAAAAAAATCTTACTGAATTTCTCAAGAACTAGCAGAGCACTGTGTTTCAAAACTGAACATGTGTTATTTTTTTCAGTTCTAATGTCCAAGAATATTATGCAATTTTACAGATTATCAACTTTATCTTTCCTTTTTTACTTTACCCTTTTGTAAAACTACAGCTCCTTTGGTTTGATCTATACTGGGAAATCGTTGGCTACCTTGAAATGCACACACAATCCAAAGTCTCTCGTATTTTTCACCCACCCGTATGAGGAGCAGATAAAACTTTTTTAGTTGTTTCTTTTTTTAAAGGCCTCTCCTGCTAATCTCCTGCTCCATTTAGAAGCTTATAGCAAAAAATCTGGGTTAGAAGCCCCAGTAACTAGAAATGTGCACTGAATATCCTCTGTATACTTCTGTCTATGCTCACAGTAGCACAGACAAGAGCTCTCCTCTGCCCACTTCAGGCTGCAAGGCAAAGATCCTTAAATTCATAAACCAGAATTATTTTGCTGTTTATCTTCAAAATGTGACTTCCACTTCTCATTGGCTTTTATATTGCTTTCTTCCATCTCCACAATGATTTTCTGCAAAAAAAAGTCTAAAATCCTAATGGAATAAAAGTACATGGGAATAATTTTGTGCCATTTGAACTACTTGATGAGGTCAGTTACTAACATGCATTTATATTCCCAAAGCCATTTACACATAAGACAAATCAAGAGACTGTTCTACGGTGTTTTCATAAACAGATGATTATATTTGAAAAAAATTGTTCCAAAGTGATTTGGGCCAATGAAAAATTTCATGTATTAGACATCAGAGGCTGAATTTCATCGCAAAAGAAAAGACTATTGGCTGTACTAGTTACATCACTCCAAGTTAACATCCTCACTGATGTTAAGAAGTCTTTAGGTTTTGAACTGGTTACATTTAAGTATGCTCAGGTCCTAGCCACTTAAAGCAGAACATAAGCATCTCTAACATATTCCAACAAAAAGAAAAGGGTGATTAATAAAAGCCCAAGAATTTATTCTGCTTTGTTAAATACATGCTTCACTCCAATTTTTATTGAAGACTTTATTTTAGTCAAAAGCCCTTACATAGTAACACAATCAGCACAGCTAATTTCAGTTGATTTTTCAAAATCAGCAGAATTCAAAAGTTAAATCCAAAGCCATATTCTCATTTAACAGGATTTTAATGCTTTTTTTTTGGCAATACTGAATTATCAAACGGTACATTATATTATATTAAGAATTTACACGAACCTAAACATTGACTAAGGGAAGAGGGAATTAAAAAAAAATTGTTTCTTTGCCACACATATGCTGCTAGAGCAACACAGTCATGTAAACCTGCAATGATTAATTGCTTCATGCTATATGTGTAATAGTTATTAAGTCCTACATATAACAGAAACTTAAAGGTTTTCCTGACATACTTTCCCTGCAATGCTAAGAAATTTAAAGTAAAAAATCTAGCACCCTGTAAATATTTCTGACATATTATAGCCACTCTGACAGGTGATCATTTCTCTGGAATCTCCAGTGCTCCTCTGTAAAGCAACACCACATTTGCAAAACACAGCTAAACTTAAGTCTGCTTCTGGTTAAACTAGCAGGTCCTCAAACACAGCAAACGCATATCCCAAGCAGAAGGAATTAGAACTTTTCACTTACAGAAAGCAATGAAAAACAAAAACTCCTTCTTACTCCTTCTTAAAAAGTATTGTAGTAAATTTTAGCAAAAACCATGCAATGTCACTGTTCTACAAGGGAAAGAAAATAAGCAGGTACACCACTCTAGGACCTGTTCTTTTCTACAAGCCTTTGGAATGCCTCTCCTAGACACTCCCAACTCCTGCTGATGGGGAAGAAGAGGTTTCTCTCTTGAGCCATATTAAGTTCCTTCAAGAAAACAGAGGTGATACTTCCAACTGTCCTTACCTATGGGCACTTTGTCACCACAGGAAAACGTCAGCAGATTATGATAAATCTGAACAAACACCTACACAGAGAAATGGGCTACTGATGCAATGACAACAAACTTTTAAAGAAGGACCCAGATGTAATCAGCTCCTACCCTCTGCATTTGGACACAGACCAAAGCAATATGAAGGAATGCCACTAAGCATCACTTAGCTCAGAATTCAAAGGAAGAGTTCAGCAGTTCTGGTTTACAAGTTTCGTAAGGACAGCAAAAATGACAAGATCTTGGTTAATACAACACTACCATGGAAACTGGGGAGCCTGCCCCAGTTGACACACTTTCATACAGGAAGGCACACTGGAACAGCTTTTCTGATTTTGAGTTGCTATGCAATTGCAGGTGAATGTTATCCTGTGCAGGAGCAATTACGTGCAGTACTAACCCAACTTAAAAGATATGACATTTTTATCAGTAGCTTCACTCCTTCTCTGCAGTCTTTATGAAAAAAGAGTAACTTACAAGAATCACTTAAGCACAGCTTGCAGCTAGGACTTATTTTTGTTTATTATTCCATCCATTACCTCACTACGCCTTCACACTTCATTATCTATAAATTCTAAAATGAACTTGGGGGGTTTTTTTTGGGGGGGATTTAGGTTTTGGGGTTTTTATAAGCTAACAATGACTGTTTCCTGTAAGTGCATAAAGAGTAGTTATTTCCAATTAATAAACATGGCTTAGGCCATAATTTTTTGATTATGGCACCTTAGTTTTCAAATCTACTGTTTTAATGGCATAGGAATACTGAACATGAGTAAACTGAATGCAATACCAACTTCCTGTCATAGATCCTTACCTCTGATTCTTCTTTGTGTCCAAGACCCAGGAGAAATGTCTTTCCACACACATTGTTTCATGAGAAACAACAGAGAAGTGGGTAAAAATTCCAACTTATCAAAATTTCCAACTTCATATGGAAAGATAAGAAGGAAAAAAGAAAAGCAATAAAACTAGCAAACATATCACCTTCTTCCAAGGGTTCCACAGACTCAGGAAAAGGGGTTGGCTCTGAAATCAATCAGTATTCCTGTGATTTAAGAAGCACTTGAAGACAGGTGATTATTTAAACTTTAGTGCCAACACTTAAACAAAAACATACTGGCTGACTTAAAATGTTTTTTCATTGATGTTTAGTAACAAATGTAAACTATTCTTCCAAAAAAATAATCCAAATTCTTTTGGTAATGAAATGTCCCATGTTGAGAGATTAAATCAGTCCCAGGTATGTAAAACTACTCCTAAGTTTTCAAGTATAATAGTGAGTTTAAGGGAATTATTCTACAGTATCATCGGAGAAAGTCTACTGACAGTATTAAGTTGGTGAACCTAGAAGCACTTTAAAATACAGCTCAAAATACATATTGAAAAGGTAAAAAAGGGGTTCTAAACCCACAGTTTCACAAGCAACATCAACTGAAAATATTTCTAGTTGCCCCATTTGAAAGCATCTTTATCAAGAGTCCAGGTAAATTGTGCTTCTGCAGCCCTAAGATTTTTCTCAGAATGATGAAAACCCCTGCAGATGTTTTCTCTATGCAAAATTTCTTTAATCTTTATTAGTATTAAAATCAACAAGAAACAATAATTCAGTTTATACCTTGACCAACACAGACTCACATAAGGCAGCATACAAAATTTAAAAAAAAATAAACAACCAGTCCAAGTTAGTAAAGCATTATCACAGACAATAATAATCAGTTTGTTTCTATATCACAAAGGGATTAAACCAGAATACCAGTTTGAAGGGGAGACTCATTACTATGAAGGCCATACCGTCTTTCACATGTATGATCCTATATAACCCAGCTACCTGCAGTGGGTGACTGCATCACCTAGTAAGTCAGTATTATAAGACTTGCATAACCTGAGTTTTTTTCAATGCACAATATCCTGATGACTTATTATATGACACAGGTGCCCTGAGAAAATACAACTGAAATATAAATACCTCTTTTTACTGTTTCACCCAAACATCAAAGAGCTCCCATTAAAATGATGAGGTGGTGTTAAGTCCTTTTCTTTCTTTGATATATAGTTTAAACATTTACAGATCTGGAAGCAGAGCTCCTAGTTAAACTGGGATGAGAATTGGTATCGTTCCAAAAATAAGACAACTACAAATAAAATCAAGTAAGTAAACAGTTGGATTGAGTTGTAACATTTTGCAACAACGTAAACAAAGATAAATGACACAAACAGGTCTTTTGAGATCTTGAATTCACAGTCTGCTCAGCCAAACACCCATCATGAGGGCCCCGAGAGACAAGCAGATACCGATAATCTGAGCGGTGCCCGAAACCACTTCGCGCCCCACCGTGCCCTCTGCCTCTGAGCCGAGGCACACTGTGGCACTGTGAGGAGTGACAGCAGTGCACTGGAGAGGGGAAACGGCTCTTCACCTCCTCCCTGCCCGGCTTCACCAAAGGAAGGTGAACTGAAACGTAACAATATCCTTCTCCTGTTTTCACCCGGCAGATAAGCAAGCGGGGGCCGGCCGTGGAACTGCCTCACTGACTCCCGGCCACTAAAGCCTCTCGCAATCCACTCAGCGTTGACACAGGTCAGGACTCAGTCCTCAGTCACCCTCGCAAAGGCCGTAGACAGGAATAAACAAGGTTATTCGCCTGACACCGGACACCGCCGACACTCTCCCTCTCTCTCCCCCCGCCCCACACCTCCACAGACTCAACATAGCCCCGACCCTCCCTCCCGTCGCCAGGTGCGGGCCCAGAGGCCCTGAGCCCTGTCCAGACTCGAGCCAGGGTGGGAGACAGTAGGGAAACACAACAATCCTCCGGGCACCATATGGGGCATCGGGAGGGGAGAAGCAACAGCCGCCACCCCCCGCCAGCAGAGCCCGAGGGGTGCGACGAGTTGTACTGCCGGAAAAGAGAGACCGAGACCTCAGCAGAGCTCCCTTCGCCATTTTAGCCCCCACGCCCATTCCCCTCCTCCCCGCCCCTCGGTGACAGGGGCAGCTCGC